CCCCGGGCGCGCAGGCCGAGGCCGGGCGGCGGGTGACGGGCCGGGTGTGTTGCAGGCGCTGCGGGAGCGGGGCTGCCGGAGCGAGGAGGACTTCAGAGCCGCGCTGCGGGAGGTGAGCGCGGCTTCGCCGGTACACCCGGTCAGAGAGGGGCGGGGGATTCGCCTCCCTGAGGGGACCCAAGGCCCTACGGTGGGGAGGCCCTGGGGACCCCCCGCCTCAGGGGGGCCTGTCCCGCGGCGGGGAGGGGACACCGCACCCCGGCTTCGCTCAGGGGATCCCCCTCCTCGCTCTTCACCCGTGGCATTTCCACACACACGGGTGGCCCCGGGGGCCGACACGGGCGCTGAGCCGGGGAGGCTTGTTGATGCCGCAGGGCTTGGCCCTGGCCGAACTGGGGAGCAGCTCCCCGGCGCCTTGTCCTGATCAAAGCCGGTGCTGGACAGAGGCCAAAGGGGAAAAATCCTCTCCTGGCGCCTTGATCCGTGGCTGGATGCTGTCGGTGATGTGTTTTTATTGGCAACACCCTGGAAGTAAATACTGTGATTCAACATGTTACCAGAATGGCCTTCCATGCCGCTCCCTAACTGGTTTTAGTTACCTGGCTTCCAGCACCCTTCTAGTTCATATTTCCTCGACGGATCTTTTGTCCCTGACTTTTAAAGGGTGTCTTTCGATGGGATCACCGGGGGTCCTGCACAGTTCACAGGAGGTCTGCCACACAAGGTTATTGCAAGAACTGCCCTCAGGGCACTCTTTAGGGAGGGATCTGTGTTTCTTGTCAGGCTGGGGACAAAGATCTGTCACACAACCAGCTCCAAATTCACCCGACACAAAGTGGACAGACAACTTCTTTTAGGGATTCTTGGCAGAATGGTGTTGGCACTAAATCGTAGCTAAAGCCTTATTTTCTTAACAGGATATTATCATTAGTCTAGCACAGAATTTATTATTGGAATGGCACAGCATTTCTATGAGCAGAATCAACATAGCACAATAAGCAGTGTAATACAGAATTTATAATACGACCTAGGATTTCTAGATCCTCACTTTATAATTTCTAATCATGTAGTTCCTAACTTGACTTTCTAATCACCTGGCCCCTCTGCAGATCGGGTCAGATCTCAGTGCAAGGTTTGCTGTATCAATATAACCATCATAATGTAGACTTGAAAAATCATAACAAAAAATATGTCACTCACTCATTCCTCAGAGGAAGCAGATGATGATGATGATGGAGGTGGCACTGGAAGGGGTCACATCTCTCACCATCCAGCAGCAGTTCCAGCCCAAGTTCCCCACTTAAGGCTTGTAAGTGCCTGCCTTTATAGACAGTGGTCAGGGTGCTGTTAACGCCTCCCTGTTCTGTGACAGGGTCATCAACACCACCTGGTTGGCCTGGTGCCCAGGGACCTTGAGGCTGGTAGGGAGGTGAAGAAGAAATCTGTTTGGTTCGTCTACTTGGTTCACAGGACCTTCCTGGCCTGATAATGAGGGAAAGGGAATGAATACATGACCCGCTCAGTCACAGAGAGTGGCTGCTTGCCTTATAAAATGGTGTTAGTTATGCCAACCACATCACCAGGGGTTGGGAGCAGGGGGTACCAGTCACACCCTCCTTCCTTTTTTGCTGAGGAACGTTATAAACTAGTCTCACGAGGGGTTATTAAATAGGAAGAGCTGCCTGAATCAGCTGTTTCCTCTGAAATGACAGATCAGCCTGTCCCAACACTTAACAGTAATTCCTTCATGACAAGTCCTGTCTCCCTCCCAGTAAATATCTTTATTTTAGACAATGCTTATATTATCATAACATAAACCAGATTCTTAAGGTAAATGCTGGCAATTCATGAGGGGTTGGAATGCCTGAAAGGGCTGAAACCTTGCAGCTCCACTTGACATGTCCATGGAAAAACTTCAGTAATTTTTTAAGCCATCCATAATGAGAACGTGTCTCAAATCCCTCTTGGGCATTTGGCTTTTCAGATATTTATTGGACTTGTCTCAACTACAGAAAAGGCATACACCATGTCTCCCAGAGGTGCCTGGAACAAAAATAACTCGTTTAAAACAATAAGCAAATTCCTGGAATTGTTTCAGTTATCCCTTTTGATTTTCTAACAGTATGCTCTATTGTTTACTTGTAGATTGAGGCAGAAGTGCAGAGAAGAAAACAGTTAATTCATCAGTCAGTGGAACGTACAGCCATCATCTCAAAGAGCTACAAACAGAAACACCCAGGAGTGTACCTTCTGCAGGTAGACAGTATGTCTGGAATCTATTTTGCATCCAAGGCATTGCCTGACAGTTTATTTTTGCAGTAGGAAATTGGGATTGCCCACAGTGCTAGGGCTGGACTGAATTAAAACTGAAGTATATCATATTAAAACTGAATTTAAAACTTTTACAGTGTAGCATATCCTCCAGGCAAGATTCTGCCTGGCTTACAGCCAGATGAGGGTCATTCTGTATTGAAGCTGCGCCAGCACCTGGTACTGGACTCAGAATACTGTTCGTAAAGCATTGTTGCAGTGAACTGGGTCAGTGAAGTCTAACGAACACCCACAGAAATCAACATTTATGGGTTTAACATACAGCCCAGTGACTGTCAGCTGGAGTGGGGCAGCAGGCTGCTTCCATGTATATATCCCACTGCAAATGCAGGGCAGCCCTCGTTGTGGGCTACTCTGCTTTGAATTTTCTCATGTTTGCTAGACCCAAGATTTCCCAGCTGGATAATTACCACAGATCAGCAGTAACACACACACAAGTTCTCACAGATTTACTGCTCTGTGATCCTTTAGTAACAAGTTCTGCCGTTGTCTGTCGTGATCTGTGTGGGGAAGTGCTTAAAGCAGAGCACAGACACTCTGTTGTGCTGAGGCCGTGACAAGATGCTAAATGTACTGAGAAAGGCTTTGCACTTACCTGTTAGGATTCCATGAGGTGAGCTAGGCTCTTTCCCATCACACGAAGGATAAATGTGGCCGGTTATACTTGGAAATCCATGAACCAGAGCAAGCAGCAACTTACCTAAACCACCAAGAAAAACACCAGTAACATTCTTCATTACCTGCCACAGAAGTAACCCAAGTGGAACTATTATCCTTGCTCCCTACTGTACATATTTCCCTGTGGCTGCCTGAAAGTCCATTTCCCACTTGGGCTGTAAAAGACTGCACAGGCTAATTGTGTTTCTATGTATTTTTATCATCCTTCCCTTGACACCAGGATTCATTCCTGGCCCCAGATTTTCTAGAAATCGTGAGATACTGCACATCACCAGATGCCCAACTCCATGGTCTCCTGCGCTACCTCGAGTCCTTCTCAGGTAAAGAAAACAACCCATCAGCCACAAAGATCTCACAGTGTGACACTGCAATTTCAGTGCTGACAGCTGTTTTCAAGGCCTGTCTTTAATAGCTCAGATTCGGTACACAGCTGAGGCAAACAGGATGTTATTTTCTGCTTGACAAGAGTCTCTGGAGAGGCAGTATTGTGCAGCAGTTACGCTCTGGGTGAGATCTGCTTTTCTGCTTTTCCAAGCCCAGTCTGCTGCTATCTCATCAGAGGCTCTAGCTGCAGCAGGGCTGGGGTTTTAGTTGTACCACAACCTCACAGGGGAGGCTGCTGAAGGAACACTGTTAGCCCTGGGGAGCTTGGTTTTGCCCCTCCAAGTGCTTTACCATTTCAGACAATCCCTGTTGGTTAGTCTGAACTGAAATAGTTTCAGTCTAGATTTGAGTCTTTTAAAATGAGATCTGGGTTTTAAGCTTCCCTGGAGGAAATCTGTGAAGCTGTCTCCCAGAAATGCTGACAAAATGTAGAGGGGAAGCTGCAAAGTTGCCTCCTTTTCTCAAGACAAAAAGAAAGAAAGAAACAAATGTGTGTGTGCAGGGCTCCCGGATTTGTCCAAGGCATGATTTCCTCACTGTCTTTATCTCAGCTTATGTATCCTCGATACCGAGCTCGCCTTACACAGCCCTTTAGGGCTTTACCATGAAAGGCAGCTCAGAAGGTCTGGTCTTCCCAGAAGGTTGGCACTGGATAAGTGAATCCCACATCCCCTAAATGACCTTGAGTCTCCTTCTTCCAGGAGGCTGTGTTCAGGCTGCCTGTGACGAGCCGTTGATTCACTGCCCTCCCTCTAGACTCTCCAAACACCTCCTTGGCACCTACAGCAGGCATTTAAATCGGTGCCAGATCTCCCAACTGGATGGGGAAGCCTGGAAACGAGAGGCCAACACAAAACCCAACAAATACATCCCAGAGCTGATCTCAGGGAATGGTTCCCAGCCCTTTGACCAGCCTGAGCACAAAGTGCAGCACGTGGGTCCTGTGTTCTCGTTGACACCAGCACAGTAGAGCTAGAGAGCACGACAGCCAAGAACGCTCTCGCTTGTTATTTTCCCCAGCAAACAGTGTCTCCCTTCTCTTGACAGATAAGAGGATCTATCGACTCCCAGTGTTCACAGAGGAGTTCTGTCAAGCCTTTGTGGATGAGCTGGAGAACTTTGAGCAGTCGGATATGCCTAAAGGCAGGCCCAACACTATGAATAACTATGGGGTAGGACTTACTATCTCTTGTGCTTCTTTAGGGAGGGCCTTCACGAGCAGACTCTGTTTACCTCCTCGCTTCACACTCCTTTCCCCTCCAAAATGTCTATAATTTTGAGCACAGCACAGTTTGAGTACAGCCCCCTTGAAGTGAAAGGATTGAGGGCATGTGTGTTACACAGACAAAAGGATTAGGGAATGCAGGGAAAGGGGATGGGAGTTGGTATCTCAGAGCAAAGAGCACCTTGTATTTAAGCAATACACAAATCAAGGAGTCAATTTTTAAAGAACACTCACATTTTGATCGTATTCTGTCTTTTCCCCATCATCTTCCACCTTCATCCTCCTCCTTTTGCCTGTAGCTGGAGCCTTTGCTCTAAAGTTCTTCATCTGAGCAAGCAGCAGGGTTAGAAGAGAACAAGGCAGCTCTGCAGCAGCTCTGGTGAAGTAGCAGATGTAGTTGGTCAGCTGTTCCCATCTTCTCTCTTTGAGACAGGTTTTGCTAAATGAACTTGGGATGGATGAAACCTTCATCACGCCCCTGCGTGAAAAATACCTGCAGCCCATAACAGCGCTGCTTTATCCCGACTTGGGGGGTGCTTGTCTGGACAGCCATAAAGCATTTGTTGTCAAGTACTCGGTACACGAAGATCTGGATTTGAGCTCTCACTATGACAATGCAGAAGTCACCTTAAACGTTTCACTGGGAAAAGACTTCACAGAAGGCAACTTGTACTTTGGGGATTTCAGCCAGGTACTGACCATATTCCTCATCTGGACCCTGATTCTATTCCCCTCTAACTCCCCCAGTTTCAAGGCATTGACTGTGTTCTAAAAAACAGTTATTCACTTGGGACAGTCAAACCTGCTCTGTCCCTTCCCCCTTTTTTTAAGTGTCTTCGCTATCCAGGTGCCTTTTCTGCTACAAGCATGTTACCAATATTTAGGCATCAAAGAGAGGACAGAGACAGCTATCATAGTAGAAGCTGGAGTGACACGAACCAGCTCATCTTTCCACAACTGAAACAGTGAGCAGAAAGGTGCTGAGAGATAAGAAATTTATTTTTTCAGATGAGACTTAAACCTAAATCTGTAGCCCCTATTTCCAAGGGACTCTCCTGGCAAGAGAGGGGTAAAAGCTCCCACACACACTGGTGAAATGGCTGCATTTCAGGGGTGCAGTGAGCCCTCTCTGCATTGCTCACTGGGTGCTGTGGGTTGAAGAGGTGACAAGTAAAAGTTTCAAGTTATATGAGCATTGTTCTTCTAGGGACTTCCTGGTGTAATGCTGTATCCACCTCCCTTTGTTCCAGGAGCCTACCCCTGTGCCAAAGTACATAGAGATTGAACATGTGGGAGCCCAGGGGCTGTTACACCGAGGAGGACAGATCCACGGGGCACTTCCCATTGCCTCCGGGGAACGCTGGAACCTCATTATTTGGATGAGATCATCCGCCATCCGCAACCAGCTCTGCCCTATGTGCAACAAGAAACCTGAGCTGGTGGAAGCAGAGGGCTTTGGAGATGGCTTCACAGAAACCCCGGAGGACGACGTGCCCGAGACTGTGAATCTCTGTTCCTTGTGGTAGCAGACGGTAGAGCCTGATTTCTCCAGATCGAGTTGCCTAAAGCTCCTCTCTGACCACTCAGACTGCGCTCACAGACTCTTCGATGGATGCACGAGTCATGTAGGAAGTAGTTACCACCTTGGAAAGTGATGCAAAACCAATCCTGCTGGGGTTTGGGAAGCCAGCGGCCCAGACAGCCAGAAGAGCAGGTACTCAGCTCCCCAGGGCTCATGCTGGGGCACTGCGTGGAAGATGTAGAAAGCCTTAACACTTTAATTCACTGCAGAGGCTCTGGAAATATTTTCAGGTGTACAGGGAGAACACCCAAAGCTGCCTGGCCTTTGTGAAGACCTCTGTGGCAACAGCAGCATCCCTGGTCCCACTGTAAACGGGAAACAACTGCACAATAAAACCCTGCACTTACCCCTTCTCTGCTGTTCACAGGGACTACTGTCCTCTTCCAGGGGAAGAGCTTTTTGTTGCTGGGTGACAGGGAAGGATCTGCTCAAAAGGGAGATACAGGTGATTCACAACGGGCTGCTGGGAATAGCATGGAATTATTGTCACCAGAGGTGTGCCTAGCCCAGGCTCAGAAAAATCCATCAGGAACAACACAGGGAGAGCTGATTCCACAGGGGTGGCTGAGAGGGTCTCTCAAGGCCTCCATGAGCCCTTTGGAGCAGAAATTTCCCTTTCAAAGATTCTGTGAAGCTTATTAAGCAAGCACAAACGAGCTTTAGAGACAAAGCTCTGGGAGCCACCTGCACCATAGTAAAACTTCCCAGAGGAAGGCAAGAGCATACATTTAACTCCTTCTAGTTGTGTGAACAAGTGAAATTGTAACTGGGTGCAGCAGGCAGACCTGGGGCTTCTTAATTTGTCACCAAGATCCCTTGGCAGCAAATTAATTAGGAGGGTCAAGTGTTTTCCCTGTTTTACCACTGGCTGGCTGAAATCACAGACTCTTCCCATCTACAAAACAAACAAGCCAAATGCTTTCTGATTTGGTGGCTGCATTTGCCTCCATGGAAAGTTAATTGTATATATTTGATATACACATACACCACGGTTGCTTATAGCAGCTTTTTCATTTATTTATTCTGCTGCAATCATTACAGCGTGTGGACCGGTAGCTGTGACAGGCTGGTACGGCTCACACAAAGGGTGCTGATTTCAGCCTTCCCGGCAGATCCGCTGCATTTTTGGCCGGGGATGCCATTAGCACACAGCACTGATTAGCTTTTCATTAGCAAAACCCATTCAAACCGCGTCTCGGGAAGGAAGCTGGCTGTTGCGTTCGTGCGTGGAGCCAGAGGGCTGGCATAGAGAAACAAGCCGAGAAGTTTTCCACGGCGGAAAACGTCACTGCTTGCTATCTGCGCCTGGGTTAGGCCCCAGAAATTAAGATAATGGGGCTAAAAAGCGAAAGAGACCAGCTAAAGGGCCTGACGCCAAGCTGGACGGATATTAAAATTAAGGTAAAAAAAAAA